ATAATACATGCTTCTATAATCCTAATTTTCTTACATGACAAAGTATATTTAAAATTGGCTTTAAAACCCCGCTTATCCCTTCAACTTAGGCTTCATTTGAGATAGCTTTCTTATTGTTTTTTAAAGTAGTTTTCTAGTAAAAAATTTGTAATTTAAATTATTTTTGTACTAAAAATCTACTTTAAAAAGCAGTAAGAAAATTGTCTCAAACCAAACCTTAATCATTAATGCCCCTTTGTTGTTCCTCTTCATACTTCATTTTTTATTTCCCTTTGAGCCTTCCCCAATGCACCGATACAATTTCTTCATTAAAATAGAAAAAAAAATGATTTTTATACCCACTTAAATCATTGCATTTCAATAGTATTTCTTCATTGAAAGTTATTATTTGATCTATCATCTTCTAATTATTTTCTTTTTCAAATTTTCACTAGAAGGTTAGGAGCTGTGCCCAAGGCTATAAATCTTCAAATCCAAAGTTGATTGCCAAAGCGTGATGAAATATATCACTACAAAAAAAAAAGGAAAATGTGTTAGCTTCCCCAATAGTGGTGCATAGTGGAATATTATCTTTCCAAGCAATCTTATCCTATTTGGAAAATCATAACACTGTTTACAAAGAAAAAAAATTCTATCATATATATATATATCATATATCATATATAATTTTTGAGATCAATTTCAAAATTTTTAAATATATTTTAAATCGGTATATTTTAAAAAAAATTGTGATAAAAGCATGTTGTTGCTCATCTTTTATCATTTAATACTTTTTAGGGGTGTCAATATTTGACCAGACCCAAACCCCACTATGATCTAACCCAGAAAATTTTGTGTTCGGGTCAACCTATTTACCAGACGAGTTGAGTTTTGGATTCCTTTTCTGTATCTTTTTTAAAATCGAGTCAACTTCGAGTAGACTCAGAAACTTAAAAATGACCTAGGTCAACCCTGGCCTACAGCGAACCTGCATTGGCTTCCATCTACAGCACTCCTGCCATCCTACGCTCACGCCTGCACTCCAAAGCGAGCCCTCCCACTCTCGCGTTCGCACCCTAACCCATGCCTTCTCCCGCGCTCGCACCCTCTCCCACTCTGATGCTTGCACCTGCGTAGGTGGTGCTCATCGCCTCGCTTGCTCAAGCCCCCTTGGCCCGCAAGAGCGCGTGTCCGAACTCGCTCGAGCCTTGCTATATTCCGGGTTAACAGGTCAGATCAACTCATCTCTATAACCCAATAGGTTGGGTCCATGTCTAAATTTCTAACCCGTTTATCGAGTCGAGTTCAGGTCATATGAAATAGACTCAAGTCAATTCCTGATTCGACCCAAACTAGAACCAAATCCTACCCAGATAGCCATGTTGACACTCCTAATACTTTGTTTGAATTTGGAAGGAACTATCGCTTTAACTTAAGCAACTTTGATTTCCAAAATTTAGGTGAAAACATTGCATAGATGAATTAGACAAGGATCCATTTATGATTTGTCCTAATATGAGAAACAAGAAGAAGAAACAAAGGTGATGCTTGCTTTAGAGTAATGTACACATGCATGTGAAGTTGATGCGATTGCTTTTAATTTTTGCCTGATTTGGTGCATTTAAAAGTAAAAGAAAAAGTAACAAAAGTCTATACAGATTATAGAACTATTTATATAATTATATTTATTTATTTTTACTTCATTAAATGCATGATGAGATTTATAATGATCCAGATGAGAAAAATTATAGTTTTGCCAATGACTTTTAAAGGCTCTACAAACCAAATAATAGGAAATGATGGGAAAAAAAAATGATTCAGTGCCTAATTATATGTAGTGGAATAATTTATCCATGTTCGAACCATGTTCCCTAATTCAAATAAGGGTCATGCAAGATTTGAATAAAGTTGGTACTTGGTTCAAATAAGATGCACATATTGTTCAAATATTATTCAATATTGTTAAACAATAGAGTTGCAATAGTTATAACCACGGTTTTAAAAACCGGACCGGACCAGCTGGTTCAACCGTGAACCGGCCAGTTGTCCGATCCGGTATATGTTATATTTAATATTATTCTCATTATAAATTTGTTATAATGCATATTATAAGAATTAATAATATAAATTTTTATATTATATTAAATATTATTCTTATTACACATTTGTAAATTTAATATTATAAATTTTATATATTATATTAAAATTTTCAAGTTGTTATAATGTATATTATCTCATTTATTATAATTATAATTAAATGTAAAAATTAATTATAATTAAATTATTAGATATTCATAAATATAATATAATTAAACTATATGTGTTGTAAATTATAATATATTCATCATTGAATTTAATTTAATTATATTGATAGATAATCTATTAAAATTATATAGTTTAAATTCTTAGAATTATATGGTTTGAGGTTAGATTCTCGTAGATATTCTATTAATGTTATTAATTTTTAATAATATTATTATTTATTATGTCATCCGGTTCGACCCCGGTTCGACCGGTCGAACCGTCGAACCTTGAATCTCTCCTTCTTCTGGTTCGTTGTCCGATCCGATTTTCACAACCTTGGTTATAACGTAATGCACTGATGCTTTTAATTAAAGAGGTATGCAGTATCCGACACACACTAGATACGGACGTACATCCGTATCTAATACCTAGCTCCACTCCCCGCTCAACGCACGACCCAGCTTCGCTTGCGAACTCAGCTCCTCGCCCGCGACCAGCCTTGCTTGCTCTATGCCCGGGTTACCGTGTCGGGTTAGGTCGACCCGGGTTTGGGGTAGGTCAGATCCGGGTTCGGATTTCTAACCTGTTTCAAAATTGGGTCGGGTCAAATAGTAACGGGTCATTTTTTAATTGGACTCGAAACCGACCCGAAAATTTATTTTGGCAACCCTAGGTCCACCGCATCCAGTGAGCCTGACCATCCAACGTTCTCTCATCATGAAGCTAATGCCCACAAGGTCCTCCGCACACGACTACAGTGAGGTTTTCCTCTGGAACTTCTACTATATATTGAAGCTGACACTTGAGGTGAGCCCCGAGCCTGACCTTTCTACTAGATTGGCGTCTCTCCTCCTATATCATATTCTACCATGGGAAGAATGTACAAAGCTTAGCCATAGCCTCTTAAAAATAAAAAAGGTTGATGCAAAGCCATTTTATATCGCCAAAACAGTGATGATCTCGAACTATATAGCTTAATGTAAACAAACTAGTTTCATCATGCATTGATTGCTAGCTTTAGGCTTTGTTCGGGACTGCTTTCTAAATCAGGGTTTTAGTACAAAAAAAATCTTAAACTGAAAAATTTTTTACTTGAAAATATCTTCAGAAAGCAGTAAAAAACTATCCCGAACGAAGCCTTAATCTCATATTAATCAATGGACTGTTTTTGGGAGATCTTACTCTATAGACCAAATTTTTGTCAAATCTCTTTGAAGTGTTGAAGTGACCTTGTTTTGGAATTTTAGGATTAGTTGGGAGATCTTACTCTATAATAAAAGATCATGAGATCTACTAGTGGTGGATGTGGAAATGGTAAAGATCTAACCAAGATTATTGTATAAGAGAATAAGTCTTTGTAGAATCTTGTAATCAAATCTGTGATTTCCGACGAATTTTTGAGAGCTTTTGGTAGAAATGATCATCGAAATAGCTGGATTTTCTGTAGTGAACAGCAATCACTAGAGAAGAAAATGTTGCTAAAAATAGGAAGGTTCGAGCAACTTTTTACTGAAAATTTATTTATATACTTTCCGAGCGTCTCCTCAAATTATGCGTATCTTAGTCAAAGTTATATTTCCAGCCATATTTTCTCAAAAAAAAAGAATCAACAAATATTTTTCTCCAATTCTAAACATTATAGGGCATATAAAATCAAAATCCAATCGAAAAAATAAAACAAATTCAATTAAAAGTATAAATTAAATTGGTGATGCAGCAATCTTCTAAAGATGATGAAGAAGAAAAAAAATCTAATGAAACCAAGATATTTATCAACATAATAACTACTGTTAAAAGCACATGAAATATTTTCTTGCAAAGAAATTGGTAGAAGGGATACATCCAGCTGCAATCCTTTTTGTTTTCTTATAGACCAAATTATTAAGATTAAGGAAATTTAATTAGGAAATAGAATTCAGCTGCACTTTCGCTTCTCTTTCCTTTATCGTTTCCTACCTCCCTATCGCCATCACAACCAACTAATAATGCTTAAGGATTTAATAACAATTTAATGACGGTCCAAAACCTTCGCTAAATCCCCGACAGATAAGCCTAACTTTTTGCCTCAAAAATAGGAATAGAATCATTATATAATTATTTCTTCCTGATTATTGATTTCCTTTAGTGGATTAAATCTCTTAACCTTAAATAAATAATCTAAGGACAGTTTTCCCTTAAAAAAATAATCTAAGGACAGTGCTTTCTCGTCAAAAAAAAAAAAAAAAGTGTAGAATAAAAGAAGTACAGTGTAAAATAGATGTAGCATATTTAAAATATTTTAAATTTTGTTAGAGTTTAAAATAAATGCAAAAGATTGTTTTTTGTGTTTAATTAGAAGTAAAATAAATTCAGTGTTTTAATTATGATGATGATGATCAGCAATGGTGGCAGCAAAGTGGTGGGAAGCACTAGCGGGTTGCAGTCATTGGTGGTAGCATCGATGAATGTGCTGATAGGTGGCAATTTTGGTTGCAATTGATTGTCATTTATTGTGGTGATTGATGGTGGAAGCCCGACGGGGGTAGGGTTGAACTTCTGCATTTGCATTCATCTAAAACCCATTACAAAACTAATCAAAACAAAGTCCCCACATCCGAGGCAAAATTACAACTATCATCCTCAAGGATAAGCAAAAAATCTTGAGGAATACATATATTGTTGCTATCTCCAACATCCCAAACAAAACTATCTTCAATTGCTCTTTGAGCACAAAAATGAGCTGCCTTGTTATGTTCCCTATAAGTATGAACAAAAAACACCTTTTGGAACGATTTTACCTAGTTTAGCTTGTGTCCTTCATCCGAACGGAGCTTCCACAACTCCTCCTGCTTGCAACGGTGCATGAACTCCATCACACTTGCATTGTCACCCTCGACAATAACCCCCTCGACATCATACATCCATTCGAGGAGGAGTTTGTCAATATAATGCACAGCCATAATCTCCACTTGGGTACTATCCCAATACGTGATACTCCA